CCTTTTTTTTTTTTTTTTAGTGGTTAATTGGAGATAAGAGTATCTGAACTACAATCCTCAGATGTCAGCCTCTGGAGTAGCTAGAAGTACAGGGGTGAGCCACCTGTGCCCAGCATACATACTACTACTTTTTTGCTTTGCTGACTTGACTTTTTCCAGTAAGACGTTTCTTTTTCTTTTCTTTCCTTTTGTCAGTGGTAGGGCTTGAACCCAGGGCCGGGTGCTATCCCTGAGCTTTTGTGCTCAAGGCTAGCACTCTGCCACTTGAGCCATAGCACCACTTCCAGTTTTTAAGTGGATGTTAATTGTAGATAAGAGTCTCACTGACTTTCCTGCCTGGGCTGGCTTTGAACTGTGATCCTCAGATCTTAGCCTCCTGAATAGCTAGGATAACAGGCATGAGCCGCCAGTGCCTGACCAAGAAGTTTCATTTTTAATTTAATGCCAAGTCTTGGTATAAATGGTAAGCTAATGAGATAACTGATTTAAAGGTATAAATACTTATTAATGGGTTGAGTTATAATTTGGGGTAAAAGTGTTGAATACATTTTCCTTTGCTTATGGTCCTATTTTCTTGCAGTGGGCCACAGTTACATTTCATCTTCCGCATCATGTGTTGAAGTCCATTGCCAGTGCCATTGTAAATGAACTCAAGAAAATAAATCAAAATGTTGCTGCCTTACCTGTGGCATCCTCAGTGATGGACAGATTGTCTTACCTCTTACCTAGTGCACGTCCAGAACTTGGAGTGGGGCCAGGCCGTTCTGTAGACAGGTATGATCCTTGCTTATATATAGAGGTGACAGTGAGATTCAGTTATTAGTTTTTAGATCAGCCAAAAATTATAATATTTGATTATGACTTTTAAAATTTAAAAAGTAGATTCTCATTTGTATCAAAGTACTGAGCTTTATTTTGAAAAATGTAGTTTATTCCTTGGTTAGTAATATTTGAGGAAACGACTACAATTATTTAGTGTCTAAGAATTACTTTACCATTGATGACCATTGTGACCTGACATTAAAAAACTGTATGTAAATGTGAACATGGGGAAAGTGGTAATTCTTATAATAAAAAAGTCAGTTATGGTAATTTTGCATTAAGATGTGTGTGTGTGTGCGTGTGTGCGTGCGTGTGCGTGCGTGCGTGCGTGCGTGTGAGAGAGAGAGAGAAAGAAAGAGAAGGGAGAGAGAGAATCCTAGGGCTTAAAATTAGGGCTTGGTGCTGTCCCTGAGCTTTTTAGCTCAAGTCTAGTGCTCTACCACTTGAGCCACAGCTCTAATTCTGGCTTTTTTCAGATAAGAGTTTCATGGACTTTTCTGCCCAGGCTGGCTTTGAACCATGATCCTCAGATCTCAGCCTCCGGAGTAGATAGGGTTACAAATATGAGCTACTAGTGCCAGGCAAAGATTTTTTAATTTGCTTGTTTTTCTTCCTTCTGGTCCTGGACTTGAACTCAGAGCCTAGCCTCTGACCCCAGACTTTTTGTTTCAGGGATGGTACTCGGCCACTTGAGTCATAGCTTTACTTCTGACTAGTTTTTGGTTGGTTGTGGGAACTGAACTAACTCTGGGCCTGGGCACTGTCCCTCAGCTTGTCAGCTCCAGGCTAGTGCTGTACCACTTGAGCCACAGTGCCACTTCTAGCCTTTTCTGCTTATGTGGTGCTGAGGAATCAAACCCAGGGTCTCATGCATGCAAAGCACTCTACCACTGAGCCATCTTCCTAGCCCCTGACTGACTTTTTTGATGATTAATTGGAGATTACTGTTAGCAACATCACATCTTTGCCAATAAAATGCTGGTGTGGCAGTCTAAACCACCTGGGGAAAAATGCAAGGTTCTATTGTAAAAGAAACCAAAGCTACAAGGTGTACATGTTTGGTTTAAGTGGTAGAGTATGTGCTAGTTGAAATGACATTAGATTCTTATTAAACATTATAGAAATGCTACACTGAAATATAAAACCATGGTGGTGGTGGTACTAGTGTGTGTGTGAGTTACTGGGGATTGTACTCATACCACTTGAGATATACCAGTCCCTTTTTGCTTTAATTTTCATATAGGGTCTTAAAATGTAGTTTTTCCAGGCTGGCCTCTGGCTGAAATCTTCCTGGTATTGTAGATGTGTACTACCAGTTCTGACTTGTTTGAGATAGGGTCTTTCCTGGACTGGGCTGTAAATGGAATCCTCCCATTTCCATCTCCTTCATAGCTGGCATTACAGCACTATGCCATCATCCCTGGCACTACAGGCTATAATATTTGATTAGATGTTCACATTTGTCTTTTCATGCAGCATTTTGCACTTTGGTATTTTCATTAATGGAAATTGTAACTTTCTTTGAATTTATAGTGTGTCCTGATGGTAGCAAATGTAATAGTGAATGAATTTGTTTTTAACATCCATTTTTTTAATTGTGACGGTTTGATTTACATTATTTATCTTTACCTTTTGACAAACTGATTCATCAGTTACCCTGTTTGTCTTAGCTAAACATTTTAGTACATATATTATTTGTATTAATTGTATTAGCAATTGGGTAGAATTTTGTATCCCTTTTTTGTTTTAGTCCTGTATATTTTATAAGTTAGGTAATGAGTTCCTTCCTTCCTTCCTTCCTCCCTCCTTCTCTCCCTCCCTTCCTCCCTTCTTTCCTTCTTCCCTTTCCCTCCCTTCCTCCCTCTCTTCCTCCCTGCTTTCCTTCTTCCCTTTCCCTCCCTTCCCTTCCCTGCCCTTCCCTTCCCTTCTGTCGGTCGTGGGGCTTGAACTCTGGGCCTGGGCGCTGTCCCTCAGCTCTTCAGCTCAAGGCGAGTGCTCTACCACTTGAGCTACAGCGCCACTTCCGGTTTTCTAGTGGTTTATTGGAGATAGGAGTCTCATGGTCTTTCCTGCCCGGGCTGGCTTTGAACCGCGATCCTCAGATCTCAGCCTCTTGAGTAGCTAGGATTACAGGCATGAGCCACCAGTTGATCCACAGCACCATTTCCAGGAGTGCATGTTTTTTTTTTTTTTTTGTCGGTCGTGGGGCTTGAACTCTGGGCCTGGGCGCTGTCCCTCAGCTCTTCAGCTCAAGGCGAGTGCTCTACCACTTGAGCTACAGCGCCACTTCCGGTTTTCTAGTGGTTTATTGGAGATAGGAGTCTCACGGTCTTTCCTGCCCGGGCTGGCTTTGAACCGCGATCCTCAGATCTCAGCCTCTTGAGTAGCTAGGATTACAGGCATGAGCCACCAGTGCCCGGCTTGAGTGCATGTCTTTTTGGGCATTGTCATTCCTTCCTTCACTCTCCCACTTTCCCTCTCCCCCACACCCACAAGTTGTATAGTTGATTTTCAACACAGTGTCTAGTGAGTATCATTGCTGCATTTGTTTAGCCTTATTTTTAAATTATGTTGTTTTTATTAGGTAGTCACATAAAAGAGTTACAATAAGTCAGGTTATGTGAATACAATGCCTCTTGAAAATGTTGCCCCTTCCTTGTTCTTCCCATTTTCCCCTTCACATCCCTACCCACAAGTTACTTTCATTCTTGAATAATTTTATATTATTAATATATATTAATATTATCTTTGTTCTTGGGCAAAATACTCTTTTGTAATCTGTCATGTGTTAAGTGCTATGACTTTTCATTAAAATATTCTTTGGAAACATGTTTGGGAAGGAAAATTTAAAAGTACATGATTAGGGCAGGGGTTACTTTCTGGGAGCAATGCCTATCTCAAAGATGATAAAATTGCCTTTGAAAGTTGTGAACAATTGCATTTTTTCCCCCTAAAGAAATCAGTGGCTATGGCTTAGTGGTAGAGTGCTTGACTAGCATACATGAAGCCATGGGTTTGATTCCGCAGTAACAGAAAAAGCCAGAAGTGTTGGTGTTGCTCAAGTGGTAGAATGCTAGCTAGCCTTGAGCAAAAGAAGCTCAGTGACAGTGCCCAGGCCCTGAGTTCAAACCCTAGGACTGGCAAATAAACAAAAACAAGGAATCAGCCAGGCACTGGTGGTTCATGCCTGTAATCCTTGCTACTCAGGAGCCTGAGATCTGAGGATCATGGTTCAAAGCCAGTCTGGTCAGGAAAGTCCATGAGACTCTTACCTCCAATAAACCACTGGAAAACCAGAAGTAGCACTGTGGCTCAAGTGGTAGAGTGCTTACCTTGAGCTGAAGAGCTGAGGGATAGCGCCCAAGCTCAGAGTTCAAGCCCCATGACCAACAAAACAAAACAACAACAACAACAAAAACAAGGAACCAGTGCAAGCTGTGGTAAATTTATACTTACGCAATGCATTCATGAGATAGTAAATCCATTGTTTTGTGGTATTTGTGAATGTACTCAGAGACTATTTTTGGTATGGTCTTTTTGGTGTTTGTTTCCTTAAAAATGAATCTAGGACTTTGAACTATTGAATCTAAGACTTTGAACTATTGAAAGTTTGAGTTAATAGTCTAGTGGTGGTACAACTGAGTGAAACTTTCTATTCTACGATTGATTTTGAAGACATATAGAACCTGTAAATGAAATGTTTACCAGCTTCCAGATGTTTTCCCCTTCTCTTCTGTGGACTAACCCCAGGGCTTGTGCAAATGGTAGGCAATGTCTTCACCATTAATGTCCCCTACCCTTCTTTAAGAAAGAAGGCAAGTATGAGTGAACCAGGCTTATAATAGTATTGAAAGTCATGTACTCATTCATTTTTTTTTTTTTGATCGGTCATGGGCCTGAACCCTTGGCCTGGACACTGTCCTTCAGCTCTTCAGCTCAAGGTTAGCACTCTACCACTTTAGCCACAGCACCACTTCCAGCTTTTTCTGCTTATATGGTGCTAAGGAAATGAACCCAGGGCCTCATGCATGCAAGGCAAGCACTCTACCACTGAGCCACCTTCCCAGCCCCATGTATTCATTAATTTAAGCATAGTTTAAGAAAATTATTTTTATGGTCTTGTTTTGATCACCTTTATAACGTTTTCTTTTTTTTCTCTTGCTCTTTTTGCATTTTTGATTTAGGAAGAGTAAACTTTTCTGTCTGTTTTAACATTTCCTTAAATTTGCTGTTATTTTTTCAAAATACCACCTTTCAGTTAACAGTTTGAATACATTGATGAAACTTTTACTTTTTTTTTTTTTTTTGGTCCGTTGTGGGGCTTGAACTCTGAGCTTGGGCGCTGTCCCTCAGCTAGCACTATACCACTTGAGCCACAGTGCCACTTCCGGTTTTTTGGTGGTTAATTAGAGATAAGAGTCTCAAGGAGTTTCCTGCCTGTGCTGGCTTTGAACAATCCTCAGATCTCAGCCTTCTGAGTAGATAGGATTACAGGCATGAGCCACTGGTGCCCGGCAACTTTTACTTTTTTTGGAGACAAAATCTTGTTCATTAGTTCAGGCTGGTCTTGAACTCATGATCCTCTTGCCTCCCTTTCCTGAATGCTGGAATTGTAGGTATGTGCTGCCACACCTGGCCAGGTATTCATGTTTTTCATTGATACCTAGTAAGTATGGCCTTTTTGGAGAAGAATTTCTTTGGAGAAAGAGTAGAAAACTGCTTTCTACTTAGACAATGAAAGCAAGAACAAAACAACAAAACACCCAAATCCTCCTTGATAATAGTTACTCAATAGACTTAGGGAAAAATAAAACAAAACTTCTGTTAATAGGCTACTCAATACACTTAATTTGGTTGTAATTTAATTTAATTTGGCAAGACTTGGCATGTGATGAAATCATATAGCTCCCTCTTTATTTCCTGAGGTTTTAATTTCTTTTTTTTTGATATTTAAATTTATTTATTTTTTATTTGTGAACATACTGTACAGAGGGGTTACAATTACATGGGCAGGATAATGCATACATTTCTTACCAAGCATTGCAGCCTCCTCCTTTGGTTTACCCTTCACATCCCTTCCCAGCCTCCCCCCAGGGTTTTAATTTCTGGTTGTTAATTATTCTTTACTGATTAATCTACCCCAGAATTATTTGTTAATTATAGTCACTAGTCAGATTTTTCCCTACTCTGTTGAAGGGAAATTCTTTTTTTTTTTGTTGGTCGTGGGG